TCTTCTCTACACAATCCATTGTCATGGGATGGTTTGCTAATGAAAATAATATATAACAATAGCTTTAATAATACAAAAGATGATACATGGCATAGTTTAGTTAATACAGTTCATTAAAGTTTCCTATAATTTACCATTCTGTGTTGTTTTTTTACATACCTGTTACTATCACAAGGGGGCAGTATTCACATCAGCCACAGCTGAATATAAAAAGACCAATCAGCATCCAGATTAAGTTCCCATGGTACAGATATATATTTTTTGCAGTAGTTGATGATTTTATAGTACATGATTTTACATTTAGCTAGTAATTATAATTCATGAAGTGTCGTTTTACCTCCAATACTGCTGCTTTCAACACAGTAGCTGCTTTTAACAGAGTAACTGCTTTCTACACAGTAGCTGCTCTCTACACATGTGTGACTGGTCTGCATAAGTACATTATGGCGCCAACCCTGTCACATACGCCTGTATGTGTATGGGGTGTATGTAATGGTGTTGGCGCAATGATGTCATCAAGCTGGGTATGTGGGACTATCTGCATGTGGGTGGACCCTCCTGGAGACGGATAGAGGAGCAGTGTCTCTAAGACCATCAGAAATATGTGTTTTCCAATGGTCTTAGGCAACCCCTATAAAAGGGTCATTCGAGCCCTGGCCGGTTTGGCTCAGCAGTTAGAGCGTCGGCCTGCGGTCCAGAGAGACCTGGGTTCGGTTCCCGCTAAGGGCATGTACCTTGGTTGCAGTTTGTCCCTGGCCCTGGTTGGTTGTGCAGGTGGCAGCCACTCAATGTGTCCCTTTCGCATCGATGTTTCTCTCTCTCTCTCTCTCTCTCTCTCTCTCTTCCTCTCTCTCCCTCCCACTCTATCTGAACAAAAAATGGAAAAATGTTCTCGGGTGAGGATAAAAAAAAAAAGGGGGTCGTTCAACCCCCAAAGGGGTTGTGACCCATAGGTTGAGAACCGCTGGTCTAAACTGTAGAGAACTCCTCCTGCCCTCTTAGAGGGGTGGACAAAGACAGAGAGGCAGGCACAGCTTGACCACTGCTCCCAAGAAGTGGGTTCTTAACTTCCTTTTGAAAAATCCCAATGATTAGATATAAATGGTTTCCAATACAAATGATCCTCCAATCACAACTTTATTAGAGGCACTGAAAAGTATTATACATATTAAATATTATCAAGTAACAAGCTAGTGTAATATCTTAGCATTTGGAGAAAAATATATAAACTTTGCAAAAAAGCTCTGTGCTTTTGATCCCTTGATTTCTTTTTACCTGAATGGGTCTTCTCTGTAGAAAGAAAAGGCCAAGCGTCCTAGCCGGTTTGGCTCAGCGGCTGGAACGTCGGCCTGCAGACCAGAGAGTGCCGGGTTCGGTTCCCACTAGGGGCACGTACAAAAGAAAAGGCCAAGCCACGTGGAATGATGTTCTTGGAACACTGGTGACAATTTCCCAAGCCTATCCCTTCACAGATGAAGGAAGGATGGTCATATGGTAAATGACTGGGAACCTTGGCTTGCAAGCACACATTTGTCCCAAAGGGCTGCTGGCACACCGTGGTGCCTCTCAAATTTTGAAAAGTTACCTTGCTTCCAGGGTTTACAATGATCCAGGTGGTGCACCTTTCACCAAACACTTAAAGTTATCAGTCAAAGCTTCTGTACAGAAATCTAGAGGACCGAAGGGAGTGGAAATTGCTTTAACCTGGGAGCCTCTGCCTGGACATATTGGCTGCTATTGGCCTCACTGGCTGCTGACCTAAGAGATGCTGTATAGGCATCTTTGGGGGACCTAGGGCTATCTAGGAGGGACCCTGGGGAGAAGGAGACAGGTGGTATGGCAGTACACCAGGCAGAGGTGGCCTCTGCCCAGGTGTAGTACATGACCCATCATTTCTTCCTGACCTGCTACTCTAGCCAAACAGGTGTGCAGGGCTTCAGGCAGCCCCATGTTAAAACCCAAACCCTGCCTAATGCAACCACATGTGACAGGTAGGACAAGGACTGAACCAACTCTTGATTCCCAAACATCCTTAGATTTCACCTCTGACCCATACTCCTCACCTGAAGATGAAGCCATCTTGATGATGCTGGTGGTTATTGTCGCCTTCTCAGGGTACTTGAGCTCCTGCTCAAGCCCAGCTACAGCAACATCTTATTAATATCTTCTCCCTCCATGAGTTTCTTAGATGCCATATTTCCATCCTTAACTCTTAGCTCTCTTCTGGTTTTGGAGGACATGGGTCAAAGGTCCTTAAAATACAAAGTCACTTGTTGAGTACTCACTAGCTACAGTGAATCAATTAGCTACTCAGAGTATCTATGTGGCCATACCTCCTACCAGCTACGAGATTATTCAGGCTACTCACTGTTACCAAATTCACATACGACTCAAATCCATATAGGACACACTGCACTTCTCAGCTTAGACTCCCTCATTCCATCTCACTTATGCAATTTCTTTTACTCCTGGCCTCCAGTGACATACTGTGAGAACTACAGGCCAGCTGGGGTCTCCCACACCTGAGATATGATCAGGCCCTCCTCCAGCTCAGCGCCTACCCATTTGTGCCACTACCTGGAGTCCTTCGAGTGTTCTGAAGGGTCACTAACTCAGAGTGTTCTGACTCTTCCTACAACTTTCCCTGTGAATCGAATTAATCTTTAACTGTCCCCTGTTCTCTCTGACCCACTGAGATGCTGCCCCAACCCCATAGCCTTGTGCCAGAACAGAGAACCTGGGGTGGAGAACCAAATGGTAAAATGAGAGCTGCTGGACTCTCAATGATGCCATGGACAGATAAGTCCCTAGATTACTGGCAAAGGTTCAGCCCAGGGAAACAGACATGGGAAACCACATCTCACTTCTGGAATATACTTAAAGAGAGTCAAGTTTTCCATCAGGTGAAACCCATTCTACCTATTGAAGAAGATGGGTGGGGGGAGAGAGATACTAGATCAGTGCCTGTATTTGTAACTATTCTCTGTCCATCTGTGACCTGGGCCAGTGATGTTCCATAAAATGCTCCCTCCCTTATGTACCATGGCCACATGGAATTTCTGCATGTGTTTTATTAGATCTCACCTGAACTCTGCTGTAGACCCTTCATTTTTTGGATTGATTATTTCTCTCTAGCTAGTCCCATGGATTAACTGTTTAGACCATTGATTTCCAAGGCCACCTTGCCTAGGATGTGTGTGGGAGCCTGCCCCAACTTCTCTTGGATCCAACTTTGGCTCTTAAGACCTCAGCATGGCCCTGGCTGGTTTGGCTTAGCAGTTAGAGCGTCGGCCCATGGACCAGAGAGTCCTGGGTTTGGTTCCCGCTAAGGGCATGTAACTCGGTTGCAGCTTGTCCCTGGCCCCAGCTGGGGTTGTGTGGGTGGCAACCACTCGATGTGTCTCTCTCACGTCGATGTTTCTCTCTCTCTCCCTTCTGCTCTATCTGAAGATAAATGCAAAAAAAAAAAAAAAAAGACCTCAGTATGAATCAGAGCCCTGGGCCCCTTATTCATTTGGAAGAAAAGGGTGTTTGTCAGAGTGTTGATTTAGAAGTGCCTATAGAAATTGTCTGGTTCTTGTGCTTATGAGAAAAGTCTAAGTTGGAGATAAATACTTGGGGGTCACTAATGCATTAGAGGTGGTGGAAGAAGCCACAAGTGTGAATAAGTTGCTCAGGTAGCATGAGCTGCATGAGAAAAGAATAAAGGATGAAGCCTTGAGAAGACCAAGAGGAAAGGGTCAGGCAGAGGCGCCTGCAAAGAAGAGTGAGCAACTGGAGAGACTAGTAAAACTAGGAGACAGAAGCTCCGCGGAAACTTCAGAGAAGGAGGCAGGAGTCTGCAGTGTCAAATGCAGTTGAGAAGTCTTGTAAAATGCAGTCTGAATTAGATTCAACAAGTGGGCAGTCGCTGGGGACCTTAGGACTAGCCCCTTCAGTGGTCTGGTTGGAACAAAAGCAGGGTGAATTATATGCTATGCTCTGCAGCACAAAGAACGCTGGATACCAAAGAAGGATCTCTGCTTATTGATGACTGGCTATCCTCACTGCCTTCTGTTTCCATTTAGCGGACACACCCCAATACATCGCTAGTCTGGATCAATACAGTAGTTTGAGATCTATTTCAGTACCATAAAAACTACCAACGTTTTTTCTGGGTTCATATATAGTACTATCTCAGTTTACCTTGAGGTTTTGAGTTTGCAAGTTGATAAACACATTACTTGGTTCAACATAATATAAATTTAGCTTTTCATGGCGATTTTAGTTCCACATCACTGATTCCAATGATAATAACCAGCTGGGGTGAGCAGCAGCCTCAGCCTTACGCTCTCCATCCAGACACAGTCACCTCTACTTCCTATCACCTGGTCTGATTTTTCTTAAGCTTGGTTAGCTTTATTCATTTGTTCACTAATTTGTTGCCCCCCCTTCTCTCTTCAAAGGTTTAATTAATGAACAAAACAGTTACTCCATACCTTGATACCATGCTTTCACGTTTACTTACAATGCACCGTCCATCACATCTCACAACACCTGCAAGAAATACGCTGTAAGAGCAGTGGCGAGGCGCCCCCTGTCGGGCACCTGGAGCACTGCAACTCCCACCCGTCCCGAGCTTCTGAGGGGCACGAGGGGGTGAGTGCCAGCGCAAAGCTTTCTGGGAAATGTCTTGGGTTGTTAGAACTACAAATCCCGGTAGGCACCGCGCGGCAGGCCGAAAGATGAGAGCGCCGTGGTAATTCTGAATCTTGTTTGTCAGTGCCCTTGGGAATGCTGCACAGATCTGACTCAGTATTCACAAGAGGCTTTGGGGAAATGTCACAGTTATTCTGCCAGGTGCACACGAGCAGACTTGAGTTCCGCAGCTTCCCCAGACTTGCTCGACGTGGCGAATCTGCCGTTGCGGTGCAGCGGCTAGGCGCGCAAGGCCCCAACGCGAAGCTTGTGGAATCTGCTGTGGGAAGAACGACGCCAGGGTTTCTTGGGCAACGGCAGCCATGGCGGCCGCTGCCCCTCGTGCCCGTGGCTCCGCGCCCGAGGCGGCGGGCTCCGCCGAAGCCCCGCTGCAGTACAGCCTTCTTCTGCAGTACCTGGTGGGTGACAAGCGCCAGCCCCGGCTCCTGGAGCCTGGGAGCCTGGGCGGCATCCCGAGTCCGTCCAAGAGTGAGGAGCAGAAGATGATCGAGAGGGCGATGGAGAGCTGCGCCTTCAAGGCAGCGCTGGCCTGCGTGGGAGGTGAGGCCAGGCGAGGGGGCCCCTGGGAGGCTGAGGGTTTGGGTCGCAGCGGGATCCTCTGCCAAGACCACGCTCCGGGCCTGGGAGGCGAGAGGCCCGCGGGCGTCGACCTTGGCCGCGTCCCGGCTCGCCCAGTGGAAATTGGGTCAGAGAACCGGTGCCGTGGGTCGGGGCCTGGACCTTATAAGACGGTGGACTTCGTTCATCATTCATTCAATCACATTTAAATAATCATCGTTTCAATAAATTGTCGCTGCGCAGCGGTCCCGGGCCGCTGTGGAGGGACAGGGTTGGAGCCGAGAGCCGAGCGCTCACGAAGCCGCCGTTCTTGTGTTTGTATGTGGAAGGGTGTCTGGCGGAAGAAGGCTGCGGAACTGCGAACAGCAAGTGCAAAGGTCTGGCGGGAGCCGGCTTGATGTTCGGAAACAGAAAGGCCATCGAGGCCAGTGTGACGAGACAGCAGTGAGCAAAGGGGAAAGAAGGCTGGACCCGGGTTTCTAAAACAGACAGACAAGCAACACAGACACCTTTTTGAGGATTTGAGAATGTACAGTGCCCCTTCTGTGTTCAGGGTAAAGAGATTGCCTACATCTCATCGAGAATAACAGAAAAACGAATATAGTGAGAGTGCAAATGTGAAGTCTAGGAGAAAGAAAGAACGCTTGCGGGGGGTGGGGGCACAAAAGGAGGTGAGACTGGGGATGTCTTGAGGGATTGAGAGAGTGAGGATGGACAGAGGAAAAGATGTTATTTCAAATTGGGGTGGAGTAGGGGATTTGGGCTTTTTGCCTATAGGCATTAGGACACTAATTGGTGCTTTTGGAGGAGAGTAACAAGTGGTAATGAGCACGACTCAGGATGGAGTGCGGTGAAGGAAAGGGAAGTGTGGATAGGGAGACCATGTAGGAAATTTGCTAGACTGAAGGTTCACCAGGCATGGACCAGGTGATTCATCACTGTGCTCAACGCTGACGACCCTGATGTATCATTTACTTATTTGTTGAAAGGAATGAGTCTTTGTAGTGCTCCAGGGTGGAAGCGATACAGGCTCTCCACTAGGCTGATAATTGTGGACAGGGGGTTGTAGGGGGAAGCAAAGAAACAGTCAGAAATGCCCCTGAGGTTTGTAGCTGGAGTTACTGGAAAGAAGGAGCCATAAGCAAGAAAATCTGGAGAGGGGGTGCCCATGATTTAATTGTACATATACAGTCGACTCTAGAACAAGACAGCTTTGAACTGTGTGAGCCCATTTATACACGGATGTTTTTCAATAAATACCTGTATTGTTTTCAATTCTCTGTTGGGAATCCATGGATGTGGTCAACTTACTATATGCATTGATCTATACTATTTTATATAGGGAACCTGAGCACCTGTGGACTTTTGTATTCATGGGGGTCCTGGAACCACTCCCCCCCCCCACACACACACACCAGATAACAGGGGAATAACTACATTTTTTTTCCCAAGGGTAAAAGTTTTATTTTTGAGGAACTTCATGCTTCATGTTTTCAAAGAGAGTCACATAAGAAAGCAAAAATGTTATTCTCATCCTAGAAATAAATAAGGGCATAAATCTTCTAAATCACAACACTTGGAAATTTAGCACCAGCAGAAAGGGGGAAAAAAGCATTTTCTATGTATTTCGGATTTCTTTGGTTGGAGTTCTCCCTACGTGGTATTAATATTTCTTTTATTTTTTAAATATGTTTTTATTGATTATAGAGGGAGAATAAGGAAGAGGGATATATAGAGAGAAACACTGATTGGCTGCCTCCTGCACACCCCCTGCTGGGGATCAAACCTGCATCCTGGATATGTGCCCTGATGGGGAATTGAACCAGCGACCTCTCAGTGCATGGGACGACGCTCAACCAACTGAGCCACACTGGCCAGGACAATAGTTCTTTCAATTCATATTACCAAAACAGTAAAAACTAGGAAAAATATATAAATCTAATGGTTGCTGAAACTGGGGAGGTTGCTCTCTTCCGTGCGGGCATTCCTGGAAACATTGGCTGACGTTCTCCTTCTGCACTTGTTTTGTAAAGAATAATCGTAAACATTCCAATGTCCATATCTTGGTTATTAGTCTTTCACTTTATTGCTTGGATGTTTCTTTGGTGTTGGTAAGGTTGTGGTCTGCTTTTTGCTTTATATTTTGAATGGTCATTATTCTTTAGGTCACCTGCTAATGGTGAAGGTGCCTGGGGAGCCTGGTGTTACTACTCAGCACTGCTCTGCTGGGTGGTGGGTGCAGGGTTCTCAGATGGCACTTCATCTGCCTTGGTGTCTTTGCCATATTGTGAAGGAGCATTAGGTGGACGGGGTTGACGTGGATAGATATAGAGACGTCGATATCCATGGGGAGCAGATGGCTGGTTTGGATCATAGGTCGCTTGTTGATTCTCTGTCTTCAGCCTCTCCCATAGCTGGGGCAGGTTGTGGGCGCCGAGGAGGTCCCTCTGGTACCTTGGATAGTAAGTTGGATTTCAGTGAACCAGTTCCTGAAGCTGTGCTCCCTCTGGCGCTCCATCCTTTACTCTCCAGTCTCACCAGATTGCATTCTGCTGAGATGGGGAAAGACCTGTGAGACGGTCAAAAGTCTGTTCCACTTGGTAAAGTGGAACTGTCACCACTACTGAGGGCAATACTGGGGGTGGCACAACCAACTCAGCCCCAGAGAACTGCCGGGAGGGAGGTCAAATCCTCACTGTTGCTGCTCCCTTCCACCACCTCCCCCAGTGTGATTACTGGGAGGCCCACAGCATCTGCCATAGTGGCCACATCTGTACTGGCACCGATCAGCAGCATGACGGCCCTCTTCTAAAGGACTCCATCTGGGCCAGTCACATTGGCTGCTTCACACCCTTCTCTCCTCCAGCCACATCCGACTACAGTCCCTCCATCTCCTACACTGTGCAGATATTTCTGTGGGCTATTCTTGGTGGCACTCATCTTCTTTGGTGTCATTTCGATTTATACATTCATATCCATTTCTGATGCTGACCCATTTGACAGAGCCAAGGACTTTGGTGCCGAGAACTTTTCTCTCTGCTTCTTTACTGCAGGTGGGGGCTGAAGAGGCAGGGGCAGCATCCCCACCAGGGTTCCCTACAGGAGGGCACCCACCAGGCTCTTGGGCTTGGGATGGGGTCTCATGGTGGAGGCAGCTGGAGTTCCCCAGCTTCGTGCTCACTCTTGGGCTCCTCGCTGGATCTTACTCGGGACAGCTCTTTTTGGGGAGCCAGAAGTTATATGTGGATATTTTACTATGGGGGACTTGGTACCACTAATCCTTGCATTGTTCAAGGGTCAACTGTATTGACCTTGAGGTGATGAGAGGACACCCATATGGAAATGTCCAGCGGGCTCAGGAAGGTCAGATGCGGACAGCAGTGTGGTGTTTGCCATTTGGTAGCTTTGTGACTTTAGGGAAGTTACTTAACCTCTCTGAGCCTCAGTTTTTTCAGCTGCAGAAAGGAGAGAATAATAACATCTACCTCAGGATTATTGTGAATAAATTGGAACGTAGTATTTACTAAATGACTGTTATGAATGTTACCATTGTTAAGGGGGTGATTTGCAAAGTTGGTAGCTGAACTGATTACACGTGAGAGAGTGTAGAGAGAGAACAGAGGTTTAAAGTCTGAATCTTCAGGAATATTAGAAAATGAAATGAGGAAGAAATCCAAGAGGAGACAGAGGAAGCTGTCAACTAGATCCTGGGTTGTGTACTATGGAAACCAGGCATGTAAAGAGTTTGGGTGGCAATGGGGGTGGGGTGTCCTCTTCACTGGTGGCCACCCAGAAGGTGCTATTTGAATATAACCCATTACAATAATTCAGAAAACATGCCAAAGAAATCTTTACCTCTGCTTGTTTTTAGGATTTGTCTTGGGAGGTGCATTTGGGGTATTCACCGCTGGCATCGATACCAATGTGGGCTTTGACCCTAAGGATCCTTACCGTACTCCAACGGCAAAAGAAGTTCTGAAAGACATGGGGCAGAGAGGAATGTCCTACGCCAAAAATTTTGCCATTGTGGGCGCCATGTTTTCTTGCACTGAGTGTTTGGTAGAATCTGTAAGTGTCTCTGAAGAAAGCTTTGCCTGCTGCCATCTTACTACTTCTGAGGAGAAGTGCTCCTAATGTTATCAGAAAGCAGATCAGAAATATCTGATACTCGCTAGATTGAATTGCCCCTAATGTAAACTTTGTGTGTTTATGATTTGGGTGTGCATGATTCTTTACTTCTTTTTGTAGGCTAGAAGTTGGTTAAGGATTTTAAAAAATGTTTTTTTTTCTTTATTGATTTTAGCGAGAGAGAAAAGGGGAGGGAGAAAGAGATGGAAACATCGATGAGAGAGAACATCAGTTGGCCACCTCCTGCATGTCCCCCTCTGGGGATCGGGCCCACAACCTGGGCATGTGCCCTGACCGGGAATCTAACCGGCGACCTCTTGGTGCTTGGGTCGACACTCAACCACTGGGCCACACTCGTCGGACTGGTTAATGATTTTAAACACAAGATGTATTGGGGAACCAGAGGAGAGATTTTGATTACTTCTCAAATGCTGCCTTTGGTTTCGGTGCTCTGTGCCGGAAGCATCTAGGAATACATTCACATTTTAGGAACTATACTTTTGAAAGAGAAAAAGATTAGGTTTCCTTTGGGGAGGGACTAAAGTAGCCAGCTAGAGACCCTGTGCTTTTCCCCCTTGGTCGTTTGCCTGTCCTGTTTCTTCAGCTCTAAACTGCACTTCTCCGCCCACAGTACCGGGGAAGGTCCGATTGGAAGAACAGTGTCATTAGTGGCTGCATCACTGGAGGGGCCATTGGTTTCAGAGGTTAGTGAACAACTCTCGAGAGGTTTTCTTTGTGGCCTTGGACAGCGTGCTGAAGTTGACATTTCTAAACACACGAGTGTTCCAGGGACAGCCTAAGGCATATGTGGACACTTGATATTCTTCCCTTCTGACAAATTAATCACATTTGCTTATGTATCAACTCAATTTTAGAAACTTCAGGATTTCTTATCTTTGGCACTATTGACTTTTTTTTTTGTTTTTTAATCCTCACCCGAGGAGATTTTTCCACTTTTTGTTCAGATAGAGTGGGAGGGAGAGAGAGGAAGAGAGAGAAACATCGACGTGAAAGGGACACATCGAGCGGCTGCCACCCGCACAACCCAACCAGGGCCGGGGACAAACTGCAACCGAGGTACGTGCCCTTAGTGGGAACCGAACCCGGGACTCTCTGATCCGCAGGCTGACGCTCTAACCGCTGAGCCAAACCGGCCAGGGCACTCTTGACATTTTGGACCAGATGAATCTTTGCTTGGGGAGAGGGGTGTTGTCCGAGTACTTAAGGATGTTTAGCAGCATCCCTGGCCTCTACCCACTAGATGCAGTAGCAGTCCTTAGTTGTGAGAACTAAGTGTCTCCAGACATCACCGAGGGTTCCCTGGGGTCAAAATTGCTCCCAAATAAGAACCACTGGTAGATCTAGATCTATCTTAGGGGAAAAAAAAAAAACCTGCCTCCAAGTTGGAAATGTGGGGAGAAGTTCCTCACAGTAAGTAATTCCTGTTGTGTGTTACATGCAGACTGGCATGGAGGCGTAGCTAGGTCCCAGTCAGCCCCAGAAAGCCCGTCTGTCCTCACGTCATGCTGACCGTCAGCTTCCTGCCTTTCCAGTATTTAGACATTTTTCTTAATTATACTGTACAGTTGTCAGTTTTACTTTTGTGTATAAATTATCACAGTAATGTCTTTCTGCAGTTGAGGATTCTTAGAATTCTACCCATGGAAAGCCAAATGTAGGTATTCAAGTGATGTTGGATTATCAGCTGTTTACAACAGAGAAAGAAACCAGTTCCCTGCCACTGCTCCCTGTGGGCAGTCCCATCGAGTGTGATGCCGGGGTCAGTGACTTGGCTTTCCTAACAGTGTCCATTGCTAGGCCACTCTATCTCCTGTGCCCTGACTTACCAAAGCAAAAAGCCTGGTTTCTCATTTTCTGAGAGGCAGGATGATTTGCTATCATTAAAAACCTGCTTTTGCTCCTCAAACAGCCATTCATGATTTAGCGGGTAACTTTTCCTTTGGTCTTCCCATCACTCAGCTTTGTCAGGGCCTTTGAGAAGCTCAGCTCCCTCTAGGACTGCTTTGATCACCTTCCCAGGAATTTATTTCATAAACAAGTCAGAGTAACAGGCCATATGCTTTCACTTGGTTCCAAGGGCTGGTTTTCTTAACCGGTTTCCTGCCTGTGAGGGGCTATTTTCATGAGACTGGAAATAGTAATTCTTTGGAATGAGAAAAGTTAAATGAATGTATGGTTTAGCCAAAGCACACTGGATTAGATCATGTACAGGGCTTCATTGAAGTTTTACAGATCTCTGACAGGTTGAATGACTTAGACCGCTTAAGCCAGTTTCTTTGCATCTGTGGGTGTGCAGACGTTTTGTGCGTGCAGTCTGGCCCAGCATGTGTCACCACAGGTAATGTCATTTCTGTTTGCTTTGCAGCTGGCTTAAAGGCGGGGGTCATTGGCTGTGGAGGTTTTGCTGCTTTCTCTGCTGCCATCGATTATTATCTACGGTGAGAGCGATTGCCTCCGGGAAGGACACCGGCCCGGACCAGAGCTGTTCTGTGGAGGGCATTTCTGCACCGCTCCAGGGCACTGGCTTCCGACACTGAAGACATTCGTTTTCCCTCATATAGTTGATATTGTGGGGGAGCCGCCTGGCCATTGCGCCTCCAGCCGCTGAGCAGCCCTTTCTGCTCCTGGACTCCAGCCAGGCTGTGTGGGATGTGCCGTGCCAGCCTCTCTCCGGCAGATTAGGAGTCAGTGTGTTGACTTGTAGAAATGAAGCTCCACAGAGATTCGGTCCTGACCACACCTGGGCCTCTGGTGGGTACTGTGGGAACAGGTGACTTGACAGACCCAGGAAGCTGCGCCTTGGAACTCCGCGGTCATCATCTCACGTATCAGGACAGGGCGGAGTGAATGCATGTCTTCTGGCCAGTTACGTCATTTTGTTTAGCATTCTGCTATCCTTGTTAAAAAATATATTTATAGTACAGTTTAAATGGTTTATTTTTATTTTCAAATTCCACAGTTCCCCAAAATGGTGCCAGGTGGCCCAATGATTGAACATTCAAAGAGAAAAATTGAGAAAGCTCCTGAGAAGTCTGGGATCGTTAGACTCTCAGGGTTGGAGAGGGCTGTTATCCTCACCGAGACTGTTACATTGGCCAGGGCCTTCCACCCAAGCAGCCCGCCCAGCTGCTCCTAGGATGCACTGAAATCCATGTGTACAGCTGCTGCCCCACCCCGCCCCCCGCGCTCTGAGCACTGGCCTAGGCCCAGCTCGAGAACAGGAGAGTCCTGCTATCTTCATCCTGGTGACTAATCAGCAGGTACTGGGTAAAATCAGCCATTACTGAGGGGCTGTTCTCCACTGCCCTTGTTCCCTGGTATGTGCTCTTTAGTTTTAACATAGTAGTGTTTTTGACTTGACCTGGTAGCCCTTGTCTTTGACAATAGAAGCTCAGCCTGGTAGACCCCCCCAAAAAAGCCTTTTATGATTGGGGTTTGCCCTGGATTCTGGTGCACACTGGTGGCAAGAAGAAGCTGATGAACTCAGGCTTTTGCTCTTGGGGGCAGGCAGGTAGGCTCGGTGGGGGACGTGCAGTCCTGGCCGCCTTTAGCCAGTGGTAACGTCCTTTTCTACTGTACAGTAACTCCTTTGCCTTTTTGCTTTCTTTCCCCTTGGCTCGCTGTCTTCTAGCCCACCCACCCTTAAGCAGAGTTCAAAGACTCAGCTGGAACATCCAGGCGTCCCGAATGTGTATTTGTATGTGAGTGATAATGTCAAACCCAGCTGGTAACACCTTCCTCTGGCCATGTCTGCTGTTTCCTTTGGAATGAGTGAGCTAGTGCACAGAGCTCATGTCCTTCTATGGTGAATTCTATAGAATGCCCGTCCCTGTCTCACAGGCATGACGCGTCACTGCTGCTACGCTGTCTGGAGATTCTTCAGAGGTCTGAGGACACATTTAGAATTGTTTTCTACACTGTCCCTAAATGTCACCTATAAGCACTTCAAGAGCAAAAGCACCTGGCACAGTCCTAGGATGCCCCGCATCTTCTACCAGCCAGTCTAGTGCGTGGGGTTAGATACACTGAACGACCGAATACAAGACAAACTGCTCTCTTGACCGCCTTGGAAAAGACGAGCCCTGGGGCTGTTGGTAGCCATCAGTTCAATAAACGAAGCATTGTCCACACCGGCTATTCAATCGAGAGAGGAGATGAATAGTTTCCTGTTTTAGATGGCTAAGGAGTCAGTATGACCTCATAAACCAAACACCAATTTTCAGACATCTGTTCCTGATCTCCAGAATAAACACAGTGTCCAATGGCGTGGGCTGGTGGGAGCCTACATAAACCCCACGGGCTCTCCTAGAGGGAGGCTGAGCCCTCTAGGGGATCCAGCCTCTCTGCAAGCAGATTAGGCCTACAGGCTGCCCCGAAGATGAGCCACATCCCAGGAAAACGTAGAGGGAAGTTTACATAAAATAAGAAGCCTCCACATGAACGAACAAGCTCCTGCCATCTCTGAGGCGTATTGACGGCCAGGTCCCTGCAGGGCGTTTGTTCATGAGCTAGCTGCTGGCTGACCTGGAGGCCTTTGTGAAGAGCAAGAAGGCCTGGGCTCCCCTCAAACTGCCCCAGTTCCCCTGGCCCAGAGGGAAGCTCAAGGGGAGTTAACTGCAGATTCACACCTGGATGCAGCTTGAAGTATTCAATACTTAGATTGCTGGTCTTCCCTGGGCCCCTGAGAACACAAATGTCCGCACCACGGGACCGAGTTGTGTGCAAATGTTGGGGCTTTGCATTTTTTTTTATTAACATTTTCTTCTCACGTGGTTTACATCAATTTATAATAATCTACATAAGTTGAAACAGAACATAGACAAAAAAATATATCCTTACCAACTTATTAAAGTCAAATATTAATGAAGAGTCCCATCTCACCTGTATCGGCAAAAACCGGCAGCCCATGGTCATTGCCAGCAAGGACAGGCCAACTGGGAGTCCTGGAGCCTGTGTGCTGAGCCTGTTGGCACAGCCTGCCCGGCTGGGCACTGGCTGGGGTCCTGGGCTGCACAGCCCGTCTCGCAGGAGAACCCACGGGCTATTTCCTTGGTACAGCTTAGTCCAGGTCTGGTACCTGCCCTCCCCACTCTGGGGGTAGAGTTTATAAATAGCGAGCCTGTTGCGTTTCTCCGCCCTTCTGGCCTTCCTCCCATTCTCACTCTGCCTAAGCAAGCTTGGGGCTGCAGCAAGGAGCTACCTGATGCTGAGAAGTGAACATCCCTTGTCTTGGGAAGGTGGGAGGCAGCATTTTTGGCTGTAATTATGCTGGGATCGTTAGACTCAAGTTCTTTCCCCATTTCCTGTCCCAGGGACCAGGGCTCCTGGCTAAGCCGCTAGCAGGTAGCCAGCTCAGTGGTCAGCCTTTCCCTCCTCTTGGGCATCTCTTTCCTGTGATGTGCACAGAATGTGTACCGTTCTGCCCAAGACTGGACAACAGGTGTAAACAGGACCAGAAAGGCCCAGCTTCTCACGGTGCAAGGGCTACAGTTTAGGGCCTGCAAACCCTTCTTTAAAACTCAGCCCTGAGCTCAAGCTGTGGGAGCTGCTCTCTCCAATCCTGAGACCTGGAATTGACTCTGCCAGAGAGCCCGGGGCCTGTACTCCAGCTCCGCCCCTGCAGCCCGGGAGCGCCTGCCCTGCCCGGCCAGCCACCACAGCCGGCAGCCACTGCCCACATGGGGAGAAACAGGAGTATCGGGATACTTCTCACTCCTTTCCAGACTGAGCAGTGGGTCTCAGAGTTGGGACCGGAACCTGCTGACCCCCGACGCTGGAGTAAAGCGCCAACAATGAGGGTCTCCAACAAAACCCATCCCCACAGAGGCAGGTGCCTCCTCATCCCTCCCCAGCTGCTTGTTTCCGGAGTTCACCCGAAAGGCTGCGTCTGGAAGCCGTGGTGGGAGGCAGCACCAAGCCGGCTGCTGCTGGACTGTCTGCCTTTCCCAGGCCCTGGGTCACACGGGGCTGCCCTGTGGCAGTGCTTGGCTGTGGAGAATGGAAAATCTAAGGCAAAGGTACCACGAGGTACGTGACGTGCCGGAAGGGCCAGTCTCCTGGACGGAGCCTGCCTATGTCCGGACACCTGCTTCTGCCACATCAGCTGCCCCCCTGGAGGCCTCGCTCCACTAGAACAGCCACCACAACACCTTGCTGCTGACGGCCGCGCCCCCGACTCAGGACCCCAGCGCTCAGCCAGTGCTGCTGCCTCCGTGGCCACCTCTCCCGCCTCCGCGGTTCTTTCCCGACCCTCTGGCTATGTCGATAGCAGGTCACTTGTGAGTCTTTACACCCAAAGGAAATAAAACACCAGGGAAAAGGAACTGAAAAGCAGGAGGAGGAAGTCAGGAATGCCTCACTGGTAGGCCGGAGACAGAACAGATATACCCCAGAAATGGAGATTCTTGGGCGGAAAATTCCAGAAATCCACTCTCCAGCTCTGTGCTGAGCTGAGGATTAGTGTGAGTCTGTCTCCTTGTCCGACATGGGCGCAGGCAGCAAAGCGAAGGAGGTGTGCTTCCACGGGGACGGCAGCCTCTGCCGGCCACCGCGGCCACCGCCGCCCGGGCCTCCCCTGAACTTCCGAGGTGGTGGAGCGAGGGCCACGGCTGCACACGCATGCGGGCAGGCTGGGGGGCGTGGAGAAACCCGCGGGGAGGCCGCCAGGAGACTGCAGTCGGGGAGCAGGGCCAGAGGATGAGCCGGCAGCAGTGACAGCGCCCAGTAAAAGCCCTCGGACTGGACGCAGGAGGAGTGTCGGAGGAAATGAAAGCGCAAAGCTGGCCGTCTCTGTGCCCACACCGGTCAGTCACTACCTTTTCTGCATGACAGACAGACATAAAACAATTCCCGAACAGCATGGAGCATTAGACGCAACTGGAGGTACAGAGGGCCGGAGCCCAGGGCGTGGCGGTGAGGCTGGGGGCCGGGTCAGCTGGCTTTGTACAAAGTGGCACAAAAGATGCATATATTCCAGTTCTTGGACGTCTGCTGGGCTTGGGAGTTTTCTATTGTAGTCTTTCAAGTCTGTGTTGGGTCCCCTGGCTGGAGAGGCTGGCTCAGCCACCCCCACAGCTGCTCCCACCCGGGGCTACACATCGGTGGAGAAATACAGTGTGTTCCGCTTCAGTTCTGCGAAGGAAATGGGGGGGTGCTGCAGGTAGTAGAGGAGGACCTGGACCTGTGGGGAGACAGAGGAGACTGAGGTGGGGTCCCTGTCCTCGTGGCCTGCCTCTGATCTGTTGAGAAGAAATGGGCCCCGGGCTGGGGTCACATCTGTGTTGCTTTCTTTCTTCCCTTTCAGGCTGGCTCCTCACTTCCCCTTCCTCCGCAGCCCAGGTGCACCTGCCCATTTTCAGCAGTAGAGGGCGCTGCAGGGCAGAGGGTGAGGAGCCTGGGGCCACTTCCCAACCCGCCTCCAGAGCTTGGCTTTGGCTTGGCATCCTGCCTCAGCCGGGACCCTGCTCCGGGTTTCGCAGGGATTCCAAGGAAGCTTTCTGACCCAGGGGCAATCCTCGGCTTCCACGCAGAGGACAAGGTCCCCAGCCTGTCCCTACACCCCTGGGCTTCCTTTCTGAGACAGGCCGCAGCCAGCTCCTGGGCCTCTGGTCTGGGAGGGGCAGGACTGTCCAAAGCCCTGTCACCCTGGTGACAGCCTAGGCACTCAGGAGCGAAGAGGTGAGGGACTCGGAGCTGTCCTCTCCCACCCCTCAGGGGTCGTCGCCCCCCTGCCAGCGCAGGCACAGTGTGGGAGTACCTGTGCCATGACATCGTGGGACCAGATGTCTGCCGCCGACGTGAGGTGTGCTTTGCTCTCCACCTCTGAGGGTCTCAGTAACGTGGGGCCAAACACGGTAGCCAGGTTGTGAAGGGACATTTTGTTGACGGGTTCCTTCTCAGCAACCCTGCAGGGGAGGGGAGGGGGAAAAGGTCGTTTCTCAGCAGCTACTTGGAGCGCCAGACGCTTGGCCTTTGGGATAAGAGCTCCTGGGAGGGCTCCTGGGAGGCGGTTCCTAGACGTCCTCCCCTAAGGGTACAGGCCTCTTGGTAGGGGAGCAACTGAGCCAAGGGACCAAGTCCCCAGCTGTGTCCCAGCATGTTCCTGTAACGTTCCCAGCTCCGGGGTCAGCGCCAGAAGGACCCCTCCAACACCTTTGCTGTAGAGATAATTATAGTACTGGCCCAAGAACTTCCCCGATAATAATTCATCCTCCTCAGAATCCTCCGGGTAGGTATTATCATCGCCACTGTACAGAGGAAGAAACCAAAGCACAGAGAGGTTTAGTGGCTTGCCTGAGGTTGCACAGCGAGCAAGTGGTAGAGCTGGGATGTGAACCCAGGCAGCCTGCCTCCAAGAGCGCCCCAGCTCTTCCCCACTCTGTGCCTCACCTGTCCCCAGTCAAGCTGCGCTTGGTGGCCCAGAGGACCAGTCAGAGTGGGTGGGGCACGGGCAGGAGCCGCAGGGAGGAGCTGGAGCCCAGTGGCAGATGCTAGCTAGGCCAGAGGCTTTGCCCCTGTGTTGTGGCAGGGACGATCCCAATCCCAGATGGAGCCCTTTTGCAGAAGGGCCTGTCTCATGGGACCCCAGAGTTGCCTCCCTTTCCATCTTCCTCTGCTTTTCTTGCCTAACAGGCCAGATGCTCTATAGCTATTTCCCCTGAGTGACAGCAGGGGCTGCCATCTGTGGGTGGTACCCAGGCAGTCGAGTACTACCCAGCACATCAGAGAGGCCTCGGGCCTCCCCAGTCCTAGGAAATGTCTCTGGGCTGAGACCCACCCGCCCCAGCAGCGCCTGTCACCCCACTCCCAACTCTACCATGGTTCCCAGCCTCCAGCAAGAGTCATGGACGTGCCCGCTGACTGCTTTGGAAACGGGCAGACAAACATTGCCATGCCAGGAGGCAGCTGTGCAGCTGGCCCAGCCCCTTCACACACACACACTCTCACACTCACACACTCGAGCCCGGCCAGGGGCCCAGATGTGGGAACAGACTGTGCCCGGTTCCCAGGGTGGAAAACCTAATGAATTTTCCCTTCCCCTTCCTCCTCTGTGTGTCCTCCCCACAGTGCTCGCCAAACTATTTGGGCCTTGGTTGGGGCTTTGGTTCTGGCCAAACCAGAGGGAAAATGTCTCATAATGGGAAAAACAAGACAGCCGTCCCGGCGTTTCCAGGCCTCGGCGGCCCTCCTGAGCCATAGCGGGGAGCCGGGCCTGAGGGCTGGGCTGCGCCGAGGGAGGGCCTGGCCGAGGGAGGGCCTGGCCCACAGCACAGGCCCTCTCCAGGCTCCGGGCCTGGGCGGTGGGTTTAAGTGACATCTGAGGACTTTTCCTCCCCATTCATACCCCACACCAGCCCTGGGCTCAAAAGTGAGTGATAAGGACACCTTCAGGGCTAGTTTCAGTTGGAACTTTGCTGCAGGCCTCAACTGTAGCAGCTCTTGGTTTGACCTGATTATTAAACGTTTTTTGTTGTTGATTTTTTTTTTTTTTAGAGAGAGCGGAAGGGAGAGAGAAATAGAAACATCGATTGGCTGCCTCCTGCACGCCCCCTACTGGGGATCGAGCCACAACCCAGGCCAGTGCCCTGACGGGAAGCGAACCAGGACTTCAGTCCACAGGATGACGCTCAATCCACTGAGCCACACCGGCTGGGCGGGGAGAAGTTTAGGATTTGGGAGCTGGGATTCTCAGGACAGCCCTGCTAACCACAGTAAATCCCTGCTGGGCTGGGGCTGTTTCCCTATCTGTTAGATAAGGTGTGGTCAAGACCAGTGGGCTTCTAATTGTTTTGACCAGGGCACCCAATAACACACTGTATCCTATCAAGTACGCACTGTGTGTAACGGACAGAACAGGACACGCATGCACACTTACTGTCCGCAGTGCACCCTGATGTTGTCTATTCTTGACTGAATGACCCACTGACTGTAAAATCCATCTATGTGTTTTGGCTCCAGCCCTGCCTTTCTAAGCATTCTGTGGCCAATATTCTAGGTTGTTATTAGTACTCAAGTATTTCTCAAAACAGAATTTGAGTGTAAAAATTTGAAAAGCAAACTCGCCCTGCTCTGGATGGCCCAGCAGAGGCCAGCACCCACGAGGAGGGGGCCCACAGCAGGGGTGAACTCTCCAGCAGGTGCCCGCGCTGGCTCCCTGCCCCCACCCCTGCTGGACCGGTCATTACCTTTTCAAGTGTTCCAGCAGGAAGAGGAAAGTGATGAGGTTGGGGTCGGGCAGGGAGCGGAGCAGATGCATCATGCAGTTTTCCTTGGCAGCAGGGTCTGACAGGGCTGTGGGGAGAGACAGGGCTCAGGCGGGGCTTGGCTCTCAGGCCTGAGCCAGCACCCCTGTGATCAGGAGGCTGCAGGGCCCTGAGGGAGAGCCTAGGCTGCCCTATGAACAGCCTGTTCTGATGGGAGGCTCCACCCACAACCTGCAACTCAGCCTGGAGGCAGGCTGGTGGGAGCAGGCGCACTGCCTCCCCTCTGCATCGGCCTTTAAGGCTGATGGTCCCCCACCCTGGTCTGTGCGGCTAAGTTTAGACAAGGGCATGAATGTTTCTCTTTTAACCGCTCCGATCCTGGAGCACGGCAGTGAGAGCCTTCCGTGGGGCTCCATTTCTCAGGGTGGCTGAAGCCCTGGTCTGCCCCAGGGGAAGAGGCAGGAGGGGCAGGAGGGACGCGCCCAGGCCTGGACTTGGCCCAGGCGGGTGGAGGCCAGAGCCCTGCTGGCCAGTGCCCTCCGCTTCCTCCCCACCCATGGCACAGGTGAAGACGACAGAGAGGGATCCTTCTAAGGCTCAGCACCAGCCGTCTCAAGTGTGCTCCGGCTCTCACCAGGCTTCTTGGCTCTGGGGTGCTGGCCCCGACCACCCACCCACTGCAAGATTTCCTTGGATACCCAGGTTTCCAAGCAAGCTCCCTGTCCCGGAGGAAGCCCAGAGGCAGCCCATGAGAGGGGAGACGCTGGTGAGAGAGGGTCCGGCCTCTGGCTCGGCCCCAGCGGCCGCACTGTGCCCTCCTGGCTGAGCCCGTGCTCAGGGCGCTGGGCAGGCCGGTAAGGGAAGCCACTGACGCGCATGTTGCTCTTTGCTCTGCTGCTCAGGAGGCCCGGCCCAGCCCAGCCTCGGGTCCCGGAGCCTCACCGATGCCCTCCATGAAGGCAGGGTACAGTCGGTCAGTGAGGAGGGGCTCGGGCAGCTCCCGGAAGTAGAGCTTGAGGGTGCCGGCAATGGCGTTGATGTCCATGTCACTCAGCATCAGCAGGATGTCCTTGTTATCTGCAGGGGAGGTTCGCGATCAGGGGCCACACCAGGGGCCACACCAGCCTGAGCCACCCCTCCCCCCTGCAGCCCTCCAGCCTTCATCTGCGGGGTGCCCCGCCCACTCCACCTCTGGTCTGGTCTCCCCTATAGAGGCAGGATGCAGGCAGTGCCACAGGTGGTCTGTGACTCAAATCCATGGGGTGGGGGGGGGGGGGGGGGGTGAAGCAGGGTTCATCGTCCAGAGTCCTGGAGTCACACTGAACATGTCACACACCCTCCTTCCTACCGGAAGCCCCCCACTGCTCAGTGCTCCAAAGGCACTGCATTTTTCACACCTGAAATCATGTTCCCAACAAAGCCCCAGACTCCAGACCGCACAGGAGCTGTGTGCCAGCACGTCCCCAGGCCCCCACCCGGCTCCCCAAACTCGTCTGCTTGGCAGCCGCCCAGGGACACCTAGAAAGGTCAGGTCCGCCACTGAGGAGTGTGCAGTCAAAGCTAGAGACAACGGTGCCCCTCCCAGAGGGCACATGGGGCCCTGCAGAGGCCAAGGGGAGCCTCAGCCAGCTAGCCCAGGCCCCAAGTCTCTCCCTTCCTCACACCCCAGGAGCCTGGGACCTAGCAAGAAAGCCAGGAACTCAGACTGGAGTCAGGAAGATGTGAGTTTCAGGCAGGCTCAAAACCTACTGGGGGAGGCCTGGGCGAGTGCCTGACCTCTGTCTCAGGCCCCTCACCTGCAGCAGTGGACAGAGGCTGGGGGAAGGGCTAAGGAGAAAGTGAGAGGAGCCCTTGCCAGGGGGATCAGAAATGGTCCACCCCGTGCCGCGGGACTGCAGTCCACAGACCGGGGCTCCTCTGCCATCGGCTAGTCAGGGCCCCTCCATGGAGAAGGCCTCCCGGTCCCACTGGGCTCTCCCGCCGCCCCGCGCCTGCGGGAGCACCAGCTCCCCGCTGCCTCCCGGCTGGGCCTCCCGGACTCACTGGCATCGAAGACGGCCTTCAGCGCCTGGATGTCTGTGGCCACCCCCGATATCCGGTAGATGCCAACCTCCTCGATGCCCCTCTTCTCCACCTCCTCCACGCACTGCCGGACGATGTAGGGCACCTTGGAGCGCTCCCGCCTGGGGGGAGGAGCGAAGGAGGGGGAGGGGCACTGGAGGGAGCCTCCCAGGGCACCCCGCAGCCCCTCCCGGGATACCCTGGCCTGGGAGAGCTGCAGCCTCTGGAGTCAGGAGGGGGCGAGGGCAGGGCTATGCCACCCCGCCCCACAGCCCGAGGCCGGCCTGTGGGGGGACAGCAAGGGACAAAGGCTGGACGTCTTGGGAGATAAGCCCAAAGACTGAGGAAAGCATGTTCCTTAGAACAGCGGTCTCAGATCCAAACGCTCTGGAGGCCAGTAGCCTGCACAAGGCAGGCGGGCGTCCTGGAGACAATGGTGGTGAGCGGGGGATGCCCTATCCCGAGGGCCGCGCTGTGGGGACCGGCCAGCCCCCACCGAGCTGCACTGTGGCTCCACAGCTGCCCAGTCTTCCCCTCTCACAGGAAGCTGAGACCTGGCATCTCCACCCTGGAGGCTGACGGATGAGGGGCCAGGGGCGGGCAGGAGCCTGGGCACCAACGCCGGAGGCTGCACCTACTTCGTCACCACGCTGATCTTCACACCGAAGACGCCGGTCTGTTTTTTCGATGGCGTCCTCTTCAGGCTCATATCTCGGCTGGTGAATTTCATGGAAAATTCCACTTTGATCTGGTTGGGGGTGAGGCAGGGCACGAGAGCCTGAGGGGTGCCCCCAAAACCTAGGGTCCCCTCACCAGGACTGTAAACAAGTCAACCTCTAGCACTCGGGGCTCCCCGAAAAGCGGCAGGGTGGGAGCAGAGGGTGTAGGCAGAGGAGAGGGGACAGGCACTGGGCCAAGGGCGGGACAGCTCCCCGAGGACACCAGCCAGAGGTCGGGCTGCCCACCCACCGCGCAGACATGTCCTTCTCTCCCGCTCACCCCGTTCATCTCGATCACATCTGTGTGCCAGTTCTTGGTTTCCACAGTTTGTGGGTCCAACTGCAAAGAAAGAAAGAAAGAAAGAAAGAGAACACAAGTGAGAGAGAGATGACAGCTCAGAGACCACGCCAGAGCTCTCTGTTGTTCGGCCACCGCGCCTAAGCTCCCTCCTCGGTCAGGACGGCAGTGCGGGGGCCAGTGCTCTTCCAGAAACCAACCCTTCAGGGTGGCTCCAGCCCTCAGCCCCTCCTGCTCTGCTTAATAAAGGGCTGCCCCCTGGTACTTCTGCCCATCACATTTCATTCACTCCTGATCACCACACCACGAGGTCGAATTACCACCCAATTCACAGATGCAGAAACTGAGGCTCACAAACAGTAGGCAACTTGCTCGACCACCTGGACTGGAGTTGACAGGAGGGGATGCAGCCTGTGCAGTGGGGCCGGACGGGGGCAGTGCAAGGTCAAGGGGAAGCCCGGGCTCGGGGTCGGACTGCCCACCTGACCCCTGACCCTGCGGCTCGCAGCTGCCGACCCAGGGAAGTGTCCCCGCCAAGCCTTGTGTGTGTCACCTGTTCACTGCAGGTGGTAACAGAGCCTTCCTCCGTGGACTGTTGCGAAGACTCGGGGAGATAACCTGGGGTAAGCGGCTGGCCCCCAAGGAAGCAAACACTCAGCAGGGGAGGCCCCCACATTGGACAGGAGCCCCTGAGGGTGGGGCTGACGGGAGAGGCTCAGGGGACTGGACAGGACTCCGATTCTCCGGACCGCAGGCTGATGCGCTAACCGCTGAGCCAAACCGGCCAGGGCTGGACTCCGATTCTCTAACCCGTGGCCTTCAAACTGTTTTCCCTTGTGCACCCACGAAATCTGTTAAAACCATGCACTCTCTGGCACATTTTAAAATCAACATCTGAATATTTCCAACGTAAGTTTAAATACTTGTGAGGAACAGAATTTCCAAAATAATGTAAATATTTACATCTTAAAATAAAACTGTTACCTCATTCTCTTAAATGTGTTCGGTGAAGCCAAAGACCATGTGACCCGATACCCACTGTCATCCACTTAAGAGACAGGACAAGCTCTCCCCCTGGTACAAACCCTAGGCTGCCCCTTCTCCTTGAGTTTGTTTCTAGTCTCTCTTCCTGAAGGACTGTGTCCTAGTTTTATTTTATGTTTAGGTCTTTTATTCGTCACCCTATTCTATTTCACTTCAACAAAAATGTCTGATTGGCCCTGGCCAGTCTGGCTCAGCGGTTAGAGCGTCGGCCTGCGGACCAATGAGTTGTGGGTTTGATTCTGGTCAAGGGCACGTACCTCGGTTGTGGTTCGTCCCCGGCCCTGGTCGGGTCGTGCGGGAGGCAACCAGTCCATGTGGCTCTATCACATCGATGTTTCTCTCCCTCCCTCCCACCCTCCCTTCCACTCTATATAATGATAAATGGAAAAATATTCTCGGGTGAGGAATTAAAAAAATGTCTGTATAAGTGGAAAGAAAAACCTTCCTGAGACCACAAGGTTCCAAATACTCAAAACATATTCTGGATTAGTTATCACAATGATTTATTGTATACAATAAAAAAATTCACCAACACATTAGACATTGTAATAAATGTTCAGCAGCAAAGCACCATTTAACCAGATGGGAGAGGCTGTTTTCTGTCTTGGTTCTCGTATGCGTCCGAGAGCACTTTGTACTAGGGCGAAATAGGACTCAGCATCAGTTCTGTTCGTATTTTCTTGTTTTTGTTTTTAAGGATGTTACAGAATGAAATATCCTATCCACATCAATAAGTAGATGAGGCTGAAAATAGTTTTATTATAGCATTAGGCAACCTTTAACCTCTTTCCTTATTTGCCTTTAACCGCACATATACCCATTGTCAAAACTTATTTTAAATCCTCTCTCAGCTGACAATCCCCATCAGTTTTGTAAGAAGGGGAAACACCCGACTTGTGAAAGGACCTGGAACCCAGCCCTGAGAGTCTTTCATTTTTTTCAACACCCACACCAACATCTCAACTGGCCCCTCTGCTGTGCACCCAGGAGGTGTCGGACGGGGGACAGGTCCCCAGGCAGCCTCGGGCTCCTCTGCAGACAGAGGTAATGGCAGAAGGCCCATGGGAGCGCAGGCTCTGCAAACGGACTCCCTGGAAACTCCCTGCGTGTATCCACTGCAAGTCTCTGCACCCCCAGGGCACGTGCACGGTTTGAACACCACTGCCCTAACAGGGCTCCCACAGAGGGAAACGAGTTGGGTTAACCCAGGTGGGCTGGGCTCTGGGGCTTCCTACAGCTTGAGGTCCTTCCTGAACCTTCTATCGTGCACACACCAGCTGGGGACAGGTGGCACCCGAGCCTCTGATGGGAGCTGGGGTCTGCATCCGGGCGGGCTCTGGCCCAGGACCAGCCTTCAGCAGTCAGTCCCCTGCCCGGAGGAGGGACTGAACTGAGCACAGGAGAGGGGGAGCGGTGTGGAGAGAACCGAGCACCCCCACGCTCCCCACGCAGCACCTCCTCAAACACACAGAGAAGCGCATGGGATTCAGCAGCCTGGCTGCTGCCCAGCTCTTACTCCAGAAGGCTTGGGGCCAAGTGTCCTACTGGGTCCCCAAGGGAGCCCCAAGTTTGGCCTCACTTTCCTGAAGCCTCCCTCCCCTCTAAACTTCGTCTTTTTAAATCTTTTTTTGGGGGGGAGTTAATCCTCACCCGAGGATATTTTTTTCCATTCATTTTTAGAATGGAAAGGGGGAGGTGGAGAGAGAAACATTGATTAGTTGCCTGACTGGTTGCCCCCCCCCCCAGACAGATGGACACTAACCACTGAACCACACCAGCTAGGGCCTCTAAATGTGTTTTTGTCCCAAACCCTCACAGCCTTCACCCCATCCAGAACGCTGGGTCTGGGACACAGAACCTGGGTCTGCCCGAGCCCTGCCCTCCAGCAACAGCCCTGCCTCTGCTCTTTGTCAACAAAGGCGGATGCTGACCTTGGAGCACACATTCGAAAGTGACCCCCCTTTTATTCAATTTATTTTAGAGAGGGAGGGAGGGAGGGAGAGGGAGGAGGAGAGAGGGAGGGAGGGAGAGAGAACAACAGAGAGGGGGAGAGAGATAGAGAGAAGGAGAGACATCAATCCGTTGCCTCCCATATGCACCCCAACCAGGGATTGAACCCGAAACCTTTTGGTGTATGGGATGATGCTCCAACCAACCGAGTCACACTGGCCAGGGCTGGAGTGAGAAGCCCTTTTAACACGGGTCTCTCTAGGCATCAGCATGAACCTCAGGCCAATCCCCTGCCCCAGCCTCCCCTGACCTGGCAGCTGCCACTGAGCTGGTGGTCCCTCCGAGGGTCCTGGAGTGGCATCTGGATGCAGCCCAAGCAGGGACAGTGTAGGGACTGAGAGTCAGACTGATCTGGGTCCAGATGTTTGCCCTTCATTCAACTGTGTGAATTGGGGCAAATCACTTAACCTCTCTGAACCTCAGTGTCCTTGCAGGGGTGTCCATCCTACCTCAGAGGGTTGCTATGGGAAACGATGACAGCAAATGATGACTTGGGAGCATCTCTTCTAAGTCTGGCCCAATGCCAAACCCTTCATATACAGCATCTCCATTAATCGTCACAACAGGCCTTAGAGGTTTAAGCCTTGAAAGTTGTTCCCATTTCACAGATGGGGACATGGAGGCTTAAAGAGAACGAGGAACTTGCCCAGTGCCACACATCAAGAAAGTGCGAGCCGGGGATAAAAATCTCTCTGACTCACCTGCTCTGCTAAACCTCGTGTAAAGCACCTGGCCTGGCGCCTGCGCCTCTTGTCAAGGACGACGGCGCCGGTACCGTTATTTATTCAGAAAGGAGACATCAGGGCCCCTGGCGCGTGGTCTGGCACCACGGCGGGCCTGGTGCTGGCAGGCCGCCTGCAGTGCAACCCTTCTGTTACTCCCCTGCCCACTGCTTCTCTTCCAGCCGCCAAGCAGCAGACCTGCGTTCTCCGGGGAGCCTCTGGGCCGGGAAAGCAACTCCTGACGCTATGGCCCAGCGCTAGCCCTGCCTCCTCCAGGGAGCCCTCCTGGATACCCCCAGGCCCCAGGACTCTTCAGTTCCTTCTGTCCCTTGCACAGAGACCCTGTCCCTCCGAAGCCTGCTGGCACCATCTGCAGCTATTTTATTTTAATTTTTTTCTTTATTGATTTTAGAGAGAGGGAGAGAGAGAAATATCGATGAGAGAGAACATCGACTGGCGCCTCCTGCATGCCCCCCACTGGGGATCAGACCTACAACCTGGGCATGTGCCCTGACCGAGGATTGAACTGGTGACCTCTTGGTGCATGGGTCGACACTCAACCACGGAGCCACACCGGCTGGCTGCAGCTGTTTTACACGCCCGAGGCCAGGTCTGTGGTGCTTTTGAGTGGTACTGGGAGTCCCCGCCACTGCCACATTTTTGCTCCCGTCTACAGGTGTACCCTGGTATGGCTCAGGGAGGCCTGCCAGCCCCTCGGCGCCCCGACAATGAAGCTCTGTCTCCCAGGGGGCCAGCAGCCTCCAGAAGCCAAGTCTATTTCAGGATGTCATTTAAATATGGAGAAGGGAGGGTGCATGGAGAGGGACATGACACGTTTTCCAGAGAAATGATGCTGCCTGGATGGCTGTGGCTATTTATAACCCCTGGGAAACGTGGACTCTGCTATTTCCTGATTAGATCAGTGCTGGGGCGGAGGGCCAGCCCCTGGGGTGGCAGAGGGCAGGAGCACCTGGCTGCTCGCCCTCCAGTCCCAGCAGACAGGCGCCATCCATCGGTCCTGCAAAGCAGGCACCTGGGGACCAGGCACCTGGGGCATGTCAGGTCACCTGGGGGAGAGAGGAAGATGGGGCTGCAGAGGGCCAGGCTGGGGGAGACCCCCAGAGGGCCCTTCCTTCACCCTACAGGAAATGCACAGACAGTGGGGCTGCCCCAAGGTGGGGCCCAGGCCGGAGACAGAAACGGGCCACAGAACAAGAAAGTAATGAGCGAGTGGGCGGTACACATGGCCGCTGAGAGCAGCTCAAC